CAGAGGCTGACCGGTGTGTTTTAGTGAGAACCAGAGGCTGACCGGTGTGTTTCAGCCTCAGAGGCTGACCGGTGTGTTTTAGTGAGCACCCACAGCCTCAGAGGGCAACCCTAACCCTAACTCTCCAAGAGTCAGAACCCCCGTCCCACTCTGGGTCACAGTCCCTGGATTTAATAGCATCTGTCAGTGGGGAAAGCTTTTCATTTCATTTCCATCAGCTTTCTATTCCCTGCAGTCGAGTCTGACTCACTGCAGCCTGAAAAGAGTTTTCAGAGGCTGTGACACTTTTCAGGACATGTAGGTGGGCAATTTTACCAGCAATTACAGCCAGCGGGGGCTTTTCACAGGATTTCACAGTCCAGCGTGCTGCCCACCGGCCTGCAGAGCGTCAGAACGGGCTAATGTGGCTAATGTGGCTAATGTGGCTAATGTGGAGCCGCTCCACCTGGTTTCATCTGAAAAGGGCTAACTAAGATTTGGAGCAGCCAGAATCTGGCTTTCAGGTTCAGATCGACTGCTTTAGCTAGCTAGGTTCCTTTTGAACAAACAGTATAAATCCACAATTATCCCATCGGGAAAATGAAACCCTTTTTCCATTGGAATGGTATTTTAGCTAAAACAAACAGAGATACAGCTGGTCCGGCCTGGAAGGAATAATAGCTCCCCCTATTCCATCATCGCCCAAAGAGCCTTTTGTAGGCTTTGAAAATGTTTCCATGATTAGAGATCTGTATTAGCATGAGGCTGACACCGTTACAGGAGAGATAAGGGAGGATTTCTCTTTTACTGTCACCGACCTGAAGCCTCTTTCACATTTTCAAACAATATTTCTTCATTTTTAAGGACCAAAAAAGACATTTCCAATCAACAGTTTGACTAGTGAGGAATCATTTCAGCTTTAAATGTTGGAGTAATCCTTCTGACTGACCTCTGACTCCTTTCCACATTAATGAAGCTGTGGAGAAAACCCTACCCCAGTTTTACCTCTGGTCAGTAATGATTCACCTTCTCTCTCCTCAGCCCATGATGGACAGAAATAAATCCGACGACCTGCCCAAGCTGCAGTGCGGTTTCATCGACTTTGTCTGCGCTTTTGTGTACAAGGTCAGACGTCCCATCAGTTTCTCTGGAGTCTGGTGACGGTTTTCACTCTGCCTCACTAATACCTGAACACGTGCTCTGTGTTTCCTCCCTGGTCCCGATCAAAGGAGTTCAGCCGTTTCCACGTGGAGATCACGCCCATGCTG